CTACTTTTGTGAAAAATTCCATATTTAAAAAAATGCAATGTAAAATTACTATGTCAAGTTATTTTAAGTACCAATAAAGGTTGTCAAAATATATGTAGGTATATTCCATATAGCAAATCACAAAAGGAATATAAAGCTTTTACAGAAAGTAAAATCCATCTTCAGTGTAAATTCCATTTTATTTGAATTATGCCTTTGACAGCATACATTTAAGATACTATCACATACAAAGATGGGTCCACTGACTGCAGCAGAGAAACTGAGGCTGGCACAAAGTACCAAAAGGGGTGGTAAAGCCTGATGCAAATGTACAACTGGAATCCAGGTTATCAGCAACCCATCAAGAGTCAATAAACCACTTATTTTCTGTCTTTTTTCCCAAAGAATTCATGTAAAACCACAGAAGAGTATAATGGGAACAGGAACTAAGTCAAGGTTAAGAAGAAGAAAAAAGGAAAGATAATAGGGATGGGAGAATGCAGGAGGAGAAAGAAAAAAAGGGCAGGAAAGCAACAAGGAAAAATTAATATATTGAACAGTAAATCCGATTAGTCCAAATCCCTAATTTAATACATATTCTTATGGCAGAGGAAGGCAAAGTCAAACTTAAAGGGATTTTCTTTTCTTCCTTTCTTCCTCTGTCTTCCTATCTTTTTTTCTTTTATTGAGGGATAAGAAAAATACATAATGAACTATTACATATATAAACACTTCTGCCCACCATTCAGATAAAGATACAAAACATTTCCATCACCCCAGAAAGTTCCCTCATGCCTCTTCCCAGTCAACAGCCACTTCCCCAAGATACCCATTTTGATTTCTATGACCACAAATTAGTTTTGCCTCTTCTTCATATACGAACAGGTACTATTTTCTGTCTTGCTTGTTTCACTCAACAATGATTTTACTGCATATATCAGTATTTCAAACATTTTTTATCACTGAATACTATTCCACTGAATGAATATACCACAATTTGTTTAACCCTTCTGCTGGTGATGGGACATTTGGGTTGTTTCCAGTTTAATAAATAAAATACCTTGAACATTTTTGCGTAAGTCTTATAGTAGACATATGCACCTATTTCTCTTGGGTATATACCTAGCAGAACTGCTAGGTCATAGAGAAGGTTTACACTTAACTTCATTAAAAACTGCCGAAAAATTTTCCAGACTTTTTAAACACCAAAGAACAAGCTTTACTTTTAAAAGTTCAAATTTTTCTTATTTTATAAAGATTTCAGTTAATTTCATGTTAATTAGTTATGCAAGATTTATGTCACTTTGAATTCTACTTTGTAGTAATCACACGGTCAGCCACAAATAGCCCAAAATTAAAGGGGGGGGTTCCAAACAAACTTGGAAGACTTCATCTTTTAAGTATGGCATTTAATAGAAAACGAAATGTATCTCAACTACCAGTGAGGTGATTTTTAATGCACTGCTGGAATTCACTATGTCTGCAACCCATACTGTAAAATGGATTTTTAAGTACGTAAAAGTCTTGTATTCAGATGTATTCAGATCATTTAAATAAATGAATAATCCCATGTAAATTCCGCATTTGAAAGCAAGTCTACAGTATTTTTCTTCATAGAAATGCTAGAAACTGATCTTTGTGAAGGAGACTAGAAGAAAAGCAGGATAGCATAAACTGTGCTGAAAAGATTTCAACTATTTTAGAGCAAAGTCTCTCCGACTGCGTCATATAGAGCAAGACTGACGTGGCCACTTACGCACATCCCCTCTACCTACACAGGTCCTTGTGCTTCCACAGAAAACACAGAACAACATCCAACTAGGGCTGCCTCCAGGTAATTCCAAGCACGAGTGTTTTCAGCCTGTGATAGCTGGACTCAGGCTACAAAAGATCATTGATACACAGGAATCCTCATGTATATAAGGCTACAGAGTTGATGCTGTAAACTCAATTTTTAGGGTTTTTGGATATATTAGAAGAAATTTTTCTATTTATCAGAGATAAATATGAAAAGGCTAATTAATTAGGTATACAAATATACATAACAATTTTTGATTCCTCTGTGTGACAGGTCAAAGAAAAATGCCACAAATACTTTTCAAAGAACAACATATTACTAACACGAGAAAACAGCTTTGTAGGAAGTTAGCAAAGTCCTTGTACATAGTAATTACTCAGTAAGTATTTGTTGAAAGAATGAATTGATTAATCAATCAGCCAGGGCTTCTTGGAGAAATGACTGGCTCCACAGCTGGGGCAAGGAAAATATAAGATGACTTTGGAACATCATATTGTGTCAGAGAGAAAGAAGCGTCCAAAGAATAATGGGGAAATATCAGAAGGACACAGAAGTCAACTTGAAGGGGCTACATCACTGGCAAAATCTGGGACAATTTAAGCTTCAAAATAAATAATGAGAGTAGCAGATTATAAGCCTTTAAGTAAAATAGGAATCCATGAGTCCACAGTGATATAAATAATCAAACAAATGGAGGAGAAGAGAAAGCTCTACCTCAGGGTAGAATGCCAACTAATCAATCTAAAAAAAATTCTGGAATTAGGAAATCACCCTTTGACAACTGTCAGAGTAATAACTGATTCAGATAAGAGTCATCAATGGGTGCTAAATCTGGTGGGTGAATGTTCAATAAGGAACAGAATATTTACATAGAAAACATAATATCTCCTCAGACAGTATTTACTCATTGCTTACTATTTAATAAATAAAACATACTTATTAATGAACTTTATAGTAGGGAAACCTGGCAGACACGCACTTCACCAAGTGATAAAAGTCATTCGTCACTAACTGGACAAGTCAGTGTGGGTGTCTCCTGACAGGAAGCACTGGGATGAGCCTGGGTCACTTCTGTGGGAGTCATGCTAAAAATGCATAAATCAAGAAACCAGACAAGCTCAACCTAGCGACATCTACAAAATATGTGGCATGAGCTCTTCAAAAATGTCAAGGTCATAAAAGATAAAAAACACTGAGCAACAGTTCCGGACTGAAGGGGAATAAAAGAGAGATGATAATTACATGTCACACATGACCCTAATTAGACCCTGGACCTTTAAACAACATTATAGGGACAATCAGAAAAATCTGAATGGGGTGTGTAGATTAAATGTTCATACTGGATCAGTGTTAACTCCCTGACAGAAGAGTGCTCATGTATATTCATGTATATAAAGTGATATCTTACTTATTCTTTTTTTTTTGTGTGTGCTTTACATGCAAGGTTTACAGAGCAAACTAGTTTCTCATTAAGCAATTAATACACATATTGTTTTGTGACACTGGTTACCAACCCCACAACGTGTCAACTCGCCCCTTCTCAACCTTGTGTCCGCCATTACCAGCTTTCCTGTCCCCTCCTGCCTTATCGCCTTGCCCCGGGGCTGGTGTGTCCATTTAGTCTCGTTTTGTGTTATGGGCCTGTCTAATCCTCGGCTGAAGGATGAACCTCAGGAGTGACTTCAGTACTGAGTGAAAAGGGTGTCCAGGGGCCATACTCTTGGGGTTTCTCCAGTCTCTGTCAGATCAGTAAGTCTGCTCTTTTTTTATGAGCTAGAATGTTGTTCTCCATTTTTCTCCAGCTCTGTCCGGGACCCTCTATTGTGATCCCTGTCAGAGCAGTCAGTTGTGGTAGCTGGGCACCATCTAATTGTGCTGGACTTATTCTGGTGAAGGCTGTGGTAGTTGTGGTCCAGTAGTCCTTTGGACTGTTTCCCTTGTGTCTTTGGTTTTCTTCATTCTCCCTTGCTCCAAATGGGGCGGGACCAGGGGAGTATCTTAAGATGGCTGCTCACAAGCTTTTAACACCCCAGACACTACTCACCAAAGTGGGATGTAGAACAGTTCTTTATAAACTATGTTATGCCAGTTGAGCTGGATGTCCCCTGAGACTCTACAACTTATTCTTAAATGGTTCAGAAATGTTAACCATTGGGGAATCTAAGTGAAGGGTATACAGGAGTGCTTTGTACTATTTCTACAAATTTTATATAAATATGAAATTATTCCTTCCCCCTAAAAAAAGTTAAAACAAATAAAAGGAGAGAGAAAGAAAAATACTTTGACGTATTCCTAATTAA